AGAGAGAGAGAGAGATTGAAATTATCTTTTTTACCTTTTATTACACCTTCAAGTGGCTAGATTGATCCTTAAAGTGAGGATCAAGATCTCATGGAGATCCCTATCTGGGAACATTAGAGGGAGATTCTAGAGCAAAATCGACACCTAGGTTAGGTGATCTTGGAAACTACGGATTGTAAATTTTTGTAAAATTATTCCTTAGTATTGTTGCTTTGAATTCTGTAATGGAGCTACCCTTGTATAGCAATTACACACGCACCCACACATTCTTTTGTGTCCTGAATGAAGATTACAAATGCAATAAGTCATACCATAATCATGCACATGGACACTACTAATCAAATAACAAAAAAAGCATGCACATGAATATTATAATACCTCTAATTGCATCTCTATCACCTGAAAATTTCATAAAACTAGAATTAATGGTACCATTCTGCCCATGTAGCCAACCCCAAATAATTGGATAAGGCTTATGTGATGATGATGGAGAAAGTTAGGGTATTATTTCTATTACATGTTGCTATATGGCAACTAGTAGACAAGATGTGGGGTGATTGTCCACATCTTGGCAATTTCTTTTTGTTCTTTTTTGTTTTAAGCAATATGAGAATTTTAAAAGAGAAAGTACAAAGAAATATTGATAAATATGCTAACATCTCATGAATATGATGGGAAGCATCTCTAATAGGGGTGTAAATGGATTGAGCTCCGGACCTGGACTCGACTTGACAAGGTGGGTGGATGGACGAGAACACAGTCAATTCCAGGCTGTTTATATAATTTTTATATATTAAAGACATAAAGTATACCAAGTTGGGTCGGGATTGACCTGACCCGACCTGGTTAGGTCCTGGATGGACCCAGACCCAACATGACCTTTGGGTCCAAACTGCTGGACCCAGACCTGCCCGAATCTGGATCCAGGTTAGCTTCACTGGATCCGATTGCCAGCCCTAATCTCCAGCATGATCAAACCATGTATGGTATCATGAAAGTGACTGATGTCCTGCATCTTCCTTAGCTGTACCAATTTCTGTTTGATCCTTTTGAATCTGTCTAATAAGATGACAGTAGGCGAAATTTTGGACTTGGCTATAGGAGATGACATTGCTCCCCTTTGGGTGGCTTTGGGGATTGTTCAAAGGTGGTACAGGGTCTAATTTTAGTTGAAGCTTTTTATTTTTTGTAATAAAGATGCTTGTTATAGTTAATATGCTTTACGTTTGGACCTTACTAGAAGTGTCTGGAATCACTTTAGGGGAGTTTAGGTTCTAGCAAACTGAAGGTATTGTATGAGAGAGTTTGTTTCTGTATCAGGGAACTAGATGGATCGATGTGAGGATTAAGAGAATGTGAAATTGCATCATATGTTTCCATGCAGTTTATAGAGATTTTGGAAGGAAAGATGTTGGCAGACCTTTATTTTTTGACGTGGGGGTTGGAGAGGATATTCATGAGAGTCCAAACAGATGTTATGAAGTTGCTTGGTGGCATTGTCCTTTTGATGTTAAATTTTGGTTCTCTTTATGCCATGGGTGGAGGATTTGGGAAGCAGGTGTTAGGACCTGGGTAAACGAATTTTGTTTTTTTTTTCTTTTATGATTAATGAAGTAGACTCTATGTGCAACATTCTAGCCGACCCCACATAGTTGGGATAAGGTTTGATGATGATGATGACTCTATGAGCAGCATTTGGTGGCTTATAATAGAGGTTCACATTCCATGACGCAGCTTCTGAGCATAGTAAAAGATAGTGTACAGATGCAAGAGAATGGATAGGCAAAGGTACAATAGGATAGTCGATGATACTGATGTAGAATTTGTTTTCCCTTTCAAGGGATTTGACCTCAGTTATTTGTTGTGAACTCCTATGCTTGATAATACTCTTCAGTTAGCATTCGATAAAGAAAGTAAGGACTGATAAGAGTATCTAGGTTTGTTCTCCTCATTATCAGTTGAGTTCTTGTTGTATTGATACAATTTTTAAACTTTGCTACCATGTTTGGCATTTCTTCATAAAGAAAAGTTGGCTTGACAAAATTAAAATAGATATCATGGTAGCAAAAATCCCTTTGCACAAATTCCACCCCCCGTGAACCCTTAGATTTCCCTTAGTAACTACCCCCAATTCAGATGTTTACAAAATGCACTTTGAGATTTTCATCACAACATCAAGGGATTTACTTTCTCTTTATGTGTTTGTGCAGATGTTTATATTTTATAGAGGTATTGCTAGATCGTACTACATGGGAACAACTTAGTTTTAATGTTTATTTGGGAGGGTAAATATGTTGGCGCAAATGTCTTGTTCTCTTGTAGTTAGACGAGATTAGCTTCAAAAATCACAGTTGAGTCATATGTTGTGCACATAATGATGAATTTTGTGCTTCATATCTGCTAGAAGCATGGGCCCAGTTCCAATTCTTCTTAGAGGAACATAAATTACAAAACATTAAATGTCACTTTGGAGAAGAAGGGAAAGGAAAACATCAAATGGTGTCACCTTTGCCTACCCAGAAAGAAATTGGGTTTTCATTTATTTATGTGATATGATGTGAGTGAGGCAAATAGCATATATTAGCGTAATGTTGTGCATGATGATGTGTTTACATACTAAATTTGTTTGATTTACAATGACTAATCAAATAAATGAAAATATTTATGGTCAGGACGGAAATGATAATAAGATAGAATGAAAATAGCTTTTGCAAATAAAGGACTTATGAAACAAATACAAGAGGCAGGACCCATTTGAGCGGCCATTTTTCTACAAGGCTCGGCTCTGAACTTTTCTATTCTAGTCCATGCTGATATACCCATATTGATAACCTTGATCAACAATATTTAACATCCACCTTCATGAGATTACAACTCAAACAGATGGCAATCCAACCCACTACTCATTTCTATACAAAAGTAATAATTTAAAAATGAAACCACCTAAATAAATGGAAATCTATTGGTTATCCTTGTCTCCTACATTTAAAATAGGAAAGTCCAGAGCTGGCATTGAAACACAAAAATTTAACTAAGGAACCTAACATGAGTTGTTGTCATTGTCATCACTGTTGTTCTTTGATTTCATTTGTACACTCAGTTGTTGTTGGGTTTGCTTTTGTATCTTGAACAGGAGATACAAGTGATAGTCATAAGTTGGATCTGGTTCACCATGTCTTCTTCATTTTCATGTTCAATGCTTCAGAGAAGTTAACGATATGGGCAATTTCTAACTACAAATATATCTTTTTTCTTAAGATACTCAACTGCAGAGAATGCCTAGAAGGAAGACAGACAAGGCTTACGTATTGGACAAGAAGAAACATGTAACAAGACTGAAAACTAACGAAGCGGGAAAATTTCTTCTAAAACGGTAGGCTCAGAAAATATCCCTTGTTTTCTAGTCAATAGTTGTGTTTCCTTATTTGATTAGATTAATTACTCCGTGTTATATACTTGTGGATGATTTTAATTGATTTGCTCAGTTCTGAGGTTCTTGTTGCTTACAAATGCGTATGGCAGTATTTCAAAATCCAGATTAGTTGGGTGGATCGTCCACCCCATAGATCCATGTTGAATTGCCCAATCCTTGGTCCAGATTGGTCCGATTCGACGATCTACAAAATTATTACAGAAATAAAATATTAAATAAAATCGTTTATTTCTTCTTCTTCTTTCTTTTTTTTGGAGGGGGGGTGGGGGGGGGGGGTAGGGAGGAGATTAGGCCGTACCTTCCCAAAACCGGTTTGGTCCCAGCCGATTCCCGGTCCGAATCGGTGATTCCCGATCTAGAACGCCGGCTTTTGCAACACCAGTGTACAAATTCTATATGAAATCAATCATCTTGGTGAGATGGAGTGCTACTGGAAAAATCTAAAGGATGTAGCTAGTAAGAAACTATTACTGATAATATTTGTATACTGGTTCTGTGGGGCATTCTCTTGGCTGTCTTTTAGGATTTTTAATGGAAATATAGATGTTTGTAGTATGTTGTTTCCCTGGGGAGTGCAGATATAGCAGAATTTGGATACAAATGGCCTGGAAAACACCATAATTGGGAGTGGGACTCCTATTCAACCCTGGTTTGATATATAGTCTTGATGGGTTCAAAGTATTGAATGTGAGGCAAACCGACTTACTTGGGCTGCCTCAGGCCATTAATCATATAGCTATGGTTATGAGTTTCGTATATGTATTACTGCAGGTTGTTTCCCTAGGGTTATCCATGTGCATGTATACAAGGGGAGGCTTATCAACTACTTGCCTATTCTGGCACCCTCCATATTTGAAGTGACTTTTAACCATTATGAGGTCATCTGTTGGTTTTCCTTTTTATGATTTGATTTTTAATTTATAAAAGTCCTCTTCTTGAAGGAGCCTCACCTCTCTAAAGCTTTCGAGGTATACTTGATAATTCACTCTCCACCCATAGTGTAATAAATTCTATCATGTTTCTTTGCATGTGTGTTGAACTATTTGAAGAATGATTGTCGGCTTTTGCATAATCTTAATTTTTTGGATTAATAAACCAACAATCTTCAACATGCATGTCACAATAAAAAACAGAGATTTTTTTTTTTGGGAAGAACTCGATTGACTTGCTTTTTTGTTGCCTTTCCCTTGGAGTATTAGTGGGGACTTCAATATTACAATGTGGTTTTTCAAGAAGAACAGAAATGGTCAGTTCATGGCCAGCATGTCTGCCTCCTCAGATATTGTCTTGGAAACAACCAGTAGGATTGTCTCAACAGGTCTTCCTTTACGTGGTCCAACCATGGGACCAGTCCAACCCTGTCAAAAACTGGCAGGTTCCTTGTCTCCCATTTGGGAGGATCAATTCCCTAGGACCTACTTGTGTAACCTCCTGTTGCTGACCATAAGCCAATTCTTCTTGATACTTCCGAGTGTTAAATGGACAGAAACCTTTTTGCTTTGAGGTGATGTGGGTCAAGGAGTCACACATGCAACAATTAATGCCCCAATGGTGGTTCTCCTATGTACTTCAGGGTTGGGCAGGTTTTCGGTTGGGTAAGAAACTACAACTGCTGAAGGAAGTTTAAAACAATGGAGCCGATTGTTGCCGGGGATCAAAGGTGGGAGATCAATGATCATGATGTAATGGAAGAATCTAACCATCTGTCTCTGGTGGGAAGAGATAGGAGTGTTCGACACCGGACGACCCTTAAGCAGGGGTAGATTTTTTGGCACCAGAGATCTGTGAACAATACTCATGAACAATAATACTGTGAAAAATATTACTGTGAATAGTGTTGTGAACAGTGCCATGAACACTACTGTGAACAATACCGTGAGCAGTAAGAAGTGTCAAAACTAGAGAGAAAAAAAAAAGAGACGAAAAGAAAGAGAAGATAGAAAATGTAAAAGATAAGAGAGGAGAGAGTGACATGGGATTCAATCACACCATGCCCCACTAATATCTTTATTTATAACATTTGTTTAGAGTTTACAAAGGACAAAAGTATCCTCAATGAAGGTAAGTATCCTAATTTATATAAAAATGATAGAAATGCACCAATACAAAAATCAAGTTATTCTTTAACACTTCCCCTCAAGCTGGAGCACAGATGTCACCCTTGCCCAGCTTGGAAAAAATCTGTTGAGTTTGGTTATGACTGAGCGTCTTGGTGAATATATCAGCTAATTAATTTGATGACTTCACATATGGGGTTGTTATTTGCTTGTTGGTCACTTTCTCACGAATGAACTGACAATCCACTTAATATGTTTTGTTCTTTAATGAAAAACTCGATTGCTTATAATATGAATGGCTACCTGATTGTCACAAAATGTCTTCATTGGTTTAGTAATTGAAAAACTCATTTCCCGTGTCAAGGTTTTCAGCCACATTAACTCGCATGTAGTATGAGCCATTGCTCCATACTCAACCTCTGCACTAGATCTGGCCACCACATTTTGTTTCTTGCTTTTCCAAGTCAACAAATTTCCTCCAACAAAGGTGCAATAGCCCGTAGTAGATCTTCTATCTAATGGTGATTCTGCCCAATTGGCATCAGAATAACCCTTAATGTCAAAGTGGCCATTCTTTTTGTAGATGAGTTCTCAGTTTGGGGCTCCCTTCAGGTATCTCAAAATTCTTCTTACTGCTTCCCATTGTGGTATTCTGGGAGAATGCATAAACTGACTTACTACGCTCACAACAAAGGCTATATCTGGGGGCCGTTTGGGAACCTAGAAATCTATTACATGAATATAGATTACACGTAAATATGACATTTCCATTGTTTAGGTACACTTTAATGGTAAGAAAATGGAAAAAGATTACGCGAGATTTCCCCAAAAATCAGGAAATCTATTACGCGCGGTGAAGGGTGAAAAATCTATTACGCACTTGACAGGTAATCGAGGGAAATCTTTCGGGCGTGTCTCTATTTTAGCTACCCAAAAATCTCGTGATTCACCTCCTAATAAACCACTAAAAAAAGGTTCTTCAGCCGCTAAAACGTGGTAGCCATATCTTCTGCAACCAATAGCTCCCTTACCTTAAGCCGCTAAAACGTGGTAGCCCTATCTTCTGCAACCAATAGCTCCCTTACCTCAAAAATCACAGAGCAACCCCATCTTCTTCAATTAGAAGCTAAAACCCGAAAAATCACACAGTAGCCCTATCTTCTTCAACTAGCAGCTAAAACCCGGCAGCCCCAACCCCATCTTCTGCAATCGCAGTTGTAGCTATTGTTTATTTCCACCTATCCAAGATTTTTTTTATTTCCACATATCCAATATTTGTCTTTTAGGTTTTGCAACCACAGTTGTAGCTATTATTCCAAACAAATAAACGAATTTGGGATCTCTGCTAAGATCAGTTTGTTTATTTTTTTGACTTTATTTTTTCTTTTTTACTGCCATTATTTGTTAATAAATTCGAAATACTTGAGTTCACTCACAGAGAATCGTCAAATCAGTGTGCTTGAATTGTTTTTTTTTTTTAAATTAATTTACCTCTTCAATTTCCTCCAATGCCCCAACATAATTTCTCCTCCAATACATCTCATTTAGTAAGCCTTCTAGGTTACTAGCCAAATTTCTCCAAATTTTTTTTATCTTTTGAATTTGCCCATGGAAGTTTTATGGGGAGATATGATCGAAAGGCTTTAGCACAAGAAAAGAAAACATAAAAAATATGATGGCTTATCATAATAAAAGTATGTTATTCCAAAGTAGTAACATCTTGCAAACATGTGATTCCAAGTCAAGACGCAAAGGCATATGCCTGATGCAATTATAAAGTTTAAGCTACATACTAATAGGGATTGTACGCTCAACCATGTTTTGGGTATAAAGCCAAAAAAGAAAAAAAAAAAATGTTGGTAATGCATTTCCCATATTTCTTTTGGACATAGCCAAACAGTAACAATGTATTTCCCAGGTTGCATCTAAATACTACCCAAACAATGACAATCCATTTGCAGGCAATGTATTACGCCAGTAATATATTTAAAAGACAATATATTTCCAGGTATCCAAACGACCACCTGGTCTAATGATTGTCACGTAGATAAGTCTACCTACAAGTCTTCTATATCTGCCAGGATCTTCTAGTAAGTCTCTTTGATCCACTAAAATTTTGGAACTTGGATCTATGGGTGTATCAACCGGTTTGGCCCTTCACATCCTTGCTTCTATCAGTAGATCAGTTACATATTTCCTTTGGGTCAGACCAATACCATATTGTGACCGTGCTACTTCAATCCTAAGAAAATATCTCAGTTGCCCCAAGCCTTTGTCTTAACATACTATTGCATATAATTCTTCAACTTTTGAATTCCTTATTAATTACTATTGCCTGTAATATTAATGTCATCAACAGAAACAACCAAGATAATAGTTCCGATGGCTCGAATGATCCACATGGCTCTGCAACCCAAATGCCACAACAAGTTTGCTAAATTTCTGAAACCATACGCCTGATGACTGCTTTAGGCCATAAATTGCTTTCTTTAATCTACATAGCTTGTCTGACTCCCCTTGAGCAACAAACCCTAGAGGTTGCTCCAATAGACTTCTTCGTGTAAATCCTCATGAAGGCATTCTTAACATCAAGTCGCCATAATTACCACCTCTTATTCATTGCTATAAATATAAGTACCCTAACTGAATTAGGTTTGGCCACAGAGCAAATGTCTCAGAATAATCAATACCATATTTCTATGTGTATCCCTTTGCCAGTAGTATAGCCTTTACTCTCCCTACAGATCCATCTGGCTGGTACTTAATGGTACATATCTAACAACACCCAACTATTCTCTTTCCTACTGGCAAATTAGTGAGGTCCCAAGTACCATTTGACTGAAGCACAACCATTTCTTCATCCATAGCTTTCTTCCATCCAGCATGCAAAAGAGCTTCCTGATAGTGATCGTGTACAAACATCCCGTCCGCTTAGAAAAACCTTTATGGGTGCGCCCGTAAAAGGTAATTGAACGCATTTAATCTTTCAGAAATTGCTAGAATTCCAATTATGTCACTAACAGTACGAATTCCAGGTTTACTTTCCTCGGTCACACGAGCAAAACAGTCTCAAATAAAGGTATGAAAGTATATGTTGGGTCACACACTAAAAGCACCTTAGAAACTTACTAAAAATTTATAAATCCATCGATCGATATGCACAAAACATCAGATAACACAATAACTTTCCAATCAACTATAGGGAGATCACTTATCTGTTTAAAAACCGATGCACAAAGCTCCGTTCCCCTATAACTCACGATGAAACCTCGAAACAAGTCATTCACAACTTCTGCAACGCACCTTGCAGTATTTCACACTTGTTCCTCTTGGTTTTTCAATGGCATGAACATGCACAACATTCAGAAGCCACCATGTTGGCTTCACACACAGAAAGGAATATTTCTTGACGATTTCAACACCAACAGAATAAGGGTTTTCCCTCTCTCTCTCTTTTGTAAAAAAAGGTAACTATTTTAAAGGAGAGAGAAGAAGACAATAAGCAGATCAGTGTTCTTATACCATGTGAATAATACTCATGAACAGTACAATGAACAGTACCATGACAGTGCCATGAATAGTAAAAAGTGTCAAAACTAGAGAGAGGAAAAAAAAAAAGTAAGAAAGAGAGAAGAGAGAGAAGATGAAAGAGAAGAGAGGAGAGAGAACAAGCGATTCAATCACCCCATGCCCCATTAATATCTATATTTATAATGTTGGTTTAGGGTTTACAAAAGACAAAAATACCTCAATGAAAATAAGTATCCTAAAGTATATAAAATGATAGAAATACCCCAATACACAAAACAAGTTATTCTTTAACAAGATCAAAAGTGAAGCGGCTGTGGGAGATCAGGATACTGCTTTATTCCACAATATAGCAAATTCTATGAGGACATCGAACATGATCATCAAGATTAAAGTAGGCAATAGGCTCTTCGATGAACCTCAAAAGTGAACAGTCTTTGTTGACGTTTTTCATAAATTATTCTTGGCCGAGGCCCCGACAGGGCCAAGAATGGCTAACCTATCCTTCCTAACTTTACCAAGTTGTTAATTAACTAGAAAGGCCTTTCTCGTGTGAAATCTGCCTAGTTGTTTCTTTGCTAGGCCAAGACAAGGCCCCAGGGCTGGATGGAGTCCTTGTTGCCCTCTTTAGAAGGTTTTCGGAGACTTTTTCTACAGATGTCCTAGCTTTTGTTGCCCTCTTCAGTACTCTTTAAGTTAGCTAGAGATCCTAATGTCATGGTCGCATACCCCAAGAATAGGGAGAAATAATCTTGACCCCTACTTGTGGAGAACTTTGCTAAATGTCGAATCTCTGAGCTTATTGTGCTGTTAGACTGGCTTTAGTCAGTATATCTACCTCAGTTAGGTTTAGGTAAGTCGGTTGGTTTGGGCTTCTACAAACTCTAGTCAGTTCTCGGTGTCTTCTTTTCACCACGCCCTGCTGAACCCTGCCTGCCCATCCATTGCAAACAAGACCTGGCTTTCACCATCCCATAAAAAATCCTGGCATTCAACTGGACTGTGCTCTCTAATTGAGCATCTACAGTTGACAACCTCCGAAGAAGAGCAATTCAGGTCTCAAATAGTTGTGCCTTTTATATAAAACCATAGAAAAACTAGTGATCACCCAATCGTTTATGGAACAGTCACTGGGCTTTGGTCAGCACTACTACGAACCTGTAGGCTTTGGTAATGCCTCAGTTGATATAGCAATTGTTTACATTGTACTGCTCTCCACCCTACCCTTCTGCAGGCCTCTTCTATGAGGGGCATGAAGCACCCAACGATGCAATCAAACACTGTATGAGATTGCTAGTGATTTTTATCTGCAGACTTTGTAAGCCACAGGTTATCCTTAGCTCTAAGCCACCCTCCATTGCAAGACCTAGCCTTTGGAGGCCATTTGACAATAGGAGCATTAAACTCAAGATAGATGGCTCCTCGCTTGACAACCCTTGTCTGGGAGGATTTGGCGGCATCCTTAGAAATTACCGGCGCGACTTTTCAGTGCACTTAGGCATTGTTAACTCTACGATGCTCAAAGCTCTTTCCCTTCTTGAAGGCCTAAAGCAATTTCGACCTAAAGCAATTTTGAAGAATACTAAAACTGTATTGTAGTGGGCTTCAAAATCTGCTCATGTCCTCGGGGACTAGATCCTATTTTTTGTAATCTTTTTCACCTTTGCAGGCTTCTATATCTAACTTTAGAGCATCTGGTGTGAGGCTAATGTGATCGCTGACACATGGTGCAGTTGGGGAATATGTAATCAGTTAGCAATTTTTTGAGTTTTGTCCCCTATTTTTTGGTTTTGTTGTTGGGAAAATATCCCCTTAGCCCCTATTTTTAACTTCTATATGTCATGAGACCCAAGAATTGAAAATATTACTTGTAAGCAAAAGGTCTCCATCTTTTCTATCTTAGAACCCCTGGACCCCTTTGACCATAAATTTTTGACCTAAAAAAACACTAAAATGACACCCTATCCAAACTTTTCTTCTCTCTCTCAAAACTCCATCTCTTTCTCTAAAACCCAAAATTGCATAGAAATTCTCCTCTCTACATCGTCTCTTTCTCCTCTCTCTCTCTACTAAAAATTATGTAGCATATTTTCCCTAAAACTTAATATCCCACACTACTTTTCCTCTCTCTCTCAAAAACTCAGCTGGTTGGCTATGGAGTCCCTGTCCATGTAGAGCTTGGGCCTGGTTAAACCCCATCAATGGCAATGTATTAGTTGCAGGATTCATGGCTGGTGCATTGAGGTTTTCATCGACTAGGCCAGTTCTTTGGAGGAAGTCCTCTAGAGGCACAACCACTCCGGAGTTTGAACCAGGGGCTTCATCGGAAGAAGGGTAAGCACCCTTAAAGAACTCGTCAATATTCATGGTGGTCAAGGGTTTTGAGAGGTCACCACCATGGCTCTGCAACTCCTCTAGGGCAAGATTGAAGATGGAGCTCTGCCTCACCAGAGGCTGAAACTGGTGCAATGTCGCTTCATATCCCATTCAACAAACCTCAATTCCTAAAATATAGCATTACAACCAATTAGAAAACTCAGCATAACCCTAAAATTCTCAAACCATAAAGAAGAACAGATTAAACGAAACAGATAATAAAAATCGATCAAAACCATTAGAAAAAGAAAATTTAAAAAAATGAGAAGATTGAATCACCCAAGTGCATTTTCGGTCGATATTCACTGCCATCAGTGAATTTTCTGGTGATCCACTTGTTTTTCCGGCTGTTAATGGTGGTTTCTTCACCTTGCCTCTCGATTCTTTCCTTCTAAGGCAAATTACCAACCCCCAACATGAGCAAAGAAGGAGAAATGAATCCTAATCAAAGTGCACCACCATTTCTTCAAATGATACTAGAAAATGGCAAAAACTCTCAGAGAAATGGAGTCGAAAAGGAAGAGAGAGAAAGTTTTAGGGTTCTGGAGGAGGGGAGGCTTGGGCCTAAAACTAGAGAGACAGAACTTCGACTGGGTCTTCCTGGTGATTACCAGGCCCTCAATTGTCCATCTCCAGTTTCCAAAAATGGCAATTTTTGTGGAGCAAAACGTGGTTTTCAAGACACTGTAGCATCAAAACTTGCAACTAGTGGGAGAAACCAGAAGCTTTCAGGCCAAGAAACCGGGCTACTTCGGCAACAACCAGCTTTCTCTCTTTACCAAAAATCACTTCACCAAAAAACCCCAACTTTTCTTCCATCAAAACAGGCCTCGCCATCGATTTTAGTGAGAGAAACAGCAAGCCCAAAAATGGAACACAAAAGAGAGATGAGAGAGAAACTGTTCTATACTCGTCCTCTGCTCCATCCAATCTCAACAAACCAAGTATGGGGAGCTCTCAGCATTGATAATTTTTAGAGAGAGTGAGGAGAAAGAGAGAGAAGAAAAGTAGTGTGGGATTAAATTTTAGGGGGTCATTTTAGTGTTTCTTTAGGTCAACAATTTATGGTCAAAGGGGTGTAGGGGGTTGTAAGATAGAAAAGATGGAGACCTTTTGCTTACAAGTAATATTTTCAATTCTTGGGTCTCATGAGATAAGTCAAAAATAGGGGATAAGGGAATATTTTCCCTTTGTTATTCTCTTATTTGTTTTTGAGCATTTGGCTTGTGGGTTGCCAGTTTTTGTAGCCATGTACATCATTATTTTCTCTGCATAATACAAAGTGTCAACTTATTCAAAATAAGTCTGAACCTTGAAAATGAAAAGTGATATCTCACGTCTCACTTTGTGTTGCGGGGCCGGAACATGCCTGCAGATACTATCATGTTTTTCTGTCATTATTTTGTTCATTTCAAGCTATCATATTCTTTAGCCATGAGACCTTTCTGAAATAACCATAAATAGTTTGTTACTTATTGGAGAAAAATAATGATCACATTTTCCAAGTAGGAGTTCATAAAAAATGAATGGAATGTCCATGAGCCACCAAAAGGACTGTCAAACCATAGGGCTCTCTGTTTTTCCTTTCCTTTGTTCTGCTTGAAATGTGATGTCTAGTAAAATCTAGGATGATTGAAGCAGAGTTAGCATTTGTGTTAGGTAATATCTGGATTTCAAGCTGTAAGTTAAATTCACGTTGGGGCTTACATGTACAAAACTATGCAATATTTCTTATTCAGAGGAGAAGGAAAACTCGAGAAACAGTTTCGTATGACCTGTAAGGAGTGTGGGCTTCTTGTGTGTTATCGCTCAGAGGAAGGCCTGGATGCTGCTCCTTTCATTTACATCGTTGATGGTGCCCTTAGCTCTGTTGCAGCGGAAACAAACCCTCAGGTATCATTAATTTTGATTGGGTGGCAAATTTGGGAAACTCTCAGATCGATCATATTATGAGAGTGTATACTATAATCCAATAGACCATGGAAAAATCGTAGTCCGTTGAGTTCATCACTGTCCTGTGTTATGGTTGGTAATGGATAGAGAACAGGACACAAAGTTGAGGTTATGTTTTATTCTTGTGGGACCCTCTCTGTGCTACCACTGTCCATTCATAGACAATGATGACCCAAATCGATTTTCCTAAAGCCCTTGGAATATTGTCCAAAAACAGTTCTTGTAAGCATGGAGTAAAATTTTAACCTTCGGTGCTCGTATGAAATTTGCCAAATTCCCAAATTTGGTTTTCTGTTTCTTCCAAAGCGTAACTCATTTTTCTGATTTTGAATCTGGAATTACTTGAGTTCAACCTAGAATTGACTTAGCCATGGGACCCTTTCTTTTTGCTGTGACATAAAAAGGTCTATTTTATTTTAAAATATAAGTTTTGGCCAATGGTACTCTTGAAGTCCATAAGTTTTGATTTGGGTCCATTTAGGATCCTCTCAAAAATTTTGAAAACTCAACCATTAATGTATTAATGAAGAAACAGGAATATCGTAAAATGCCATGTCGTCTTTGGAATTGTAAAGGTCAATTCATTGTTTATATGTACAAGCTGTAGGCGTCAAGAGAGCAGGTATTAACTGGTTGATCCATTGTTTCCTGTATTATGATGGAGGCAGGATGCCCCTGTGCCGCCATGTATTTCACAACTGGAAGGTGGCCTTGTCCAAGTGGCGATAGAAGTTGAAGACCGCGCGCAACGTTCAGCCATTACTAGTCTCTCTCTCTCTCTCTCTCTCTCTATATATATATATATATATATATATGCATGCATGATTGATTGTTTCCTTCTCTCATGAGCTGTAGGGTTATCACTGTTCATTGAATTGATGATAGAGGTGATGAAAAGAGAAAGGGACCCATCAGAACATTACATGATTCATATGGTGGGTCCTCTGCATTCATCACCATCCGTCATTATTGTACAGTGATGACCCCAAGGATTATGCTTTTCCAATGATCTTTTGGATTCCTGTGTGTGTACGTGTTTGTGTGTGTGCTAGTTTGTGAGTGTATGGGTTTTCAAACCAAATGATTCTAGATAGCATCTCTTTAATAAGCCACAAACCCTCTCTCATGATTTTCAATTATTTTTGGACAGGAGTGAATGCCGATGATGTGCGAGTGACTGTTGCAGCACCAGCAGCACGAGGGGAAGCTAACAGTGAGCTGTTGGAGTTCATGGGCAAGGTATGCATACCTGCAACTCTTACTTTCCAAGGAAATTACTCTTCTCCTTAACCTTAATTGCTATCATCTTGCATTTTACTATAAAGAATAGAAGGAAAAGGAATGTCTTGGTTCATATCTTAAGCTTGGATCATCTTAATTCAGGTGTTAGGCTTAAGGTTGACACAGATGACACTTCAGAGGGGCTGGAATAACAAATCAAAGCTGCTTGTGGTAAGTTACCTGCCAATAGCGTTTTGCATGAAAGCAAAAGAAATGTAAAATGCATTTTTTATGAGAGGTTAGTTATTCGGCGCTTATCAATTTGATTTGTAATTTCTCATGTGCATGGAGCTTTTCCTATTGCTTCTCACAGTTTCATACCCCAAATTGGCCCCGGTGGTTCTTGGATTAAAAAAGCCCTTACCCGACCAACTTACCTAAACGTCATTTTGAGGGTTGCATTTTTTGTCTTTTCAACATGTCCTTTTGGTTGGGCCTTTATGGCAGTGAGAGACTTCTGGCCTATTTTCGGGCAATTTCTGCTCATGGTGCCAGGCCATGCTTTCCTACCTTAATGTTCTTGGTATTCTTCCTTTTTTCCCTGCTTTAGAAGGAAAATTGGCATAATTTTTTCCATGGATGTAAACCAGTGTCCGAAAAACCAGCCAAGTTGACACAGACTTAGCGGAGTAACACGGCCTCGCAGATGGCTGAGGCGACTAATGTGTACATTATCAGAGGATGGGGCTACCTGTAAGTACTTAGGTGAGTACTGTAGCGACTCGCATGAGTACTGTAGAACTAGGGTGAGTACTTGGCAAAGTAGTACAGTACTCACCCGGGTACAGTACATTGATAGCTATAAAAGAGCGGCCAGGGAAATTTGCTGTGGTTTCTTTGATTTTGTAGTTTAGGGTTGCCCATTTGAGCCAAAATTGCATCCTTGGTAAGATTTTACCCTGATCTATCTATTAGAAACAATAGATTTGAGAAAAAGACCAGATTTGATATTATTTTTTAGAACAAAAAAATTGTCAGTTTTTGCTTGATTTGAAAGATTGCGATTTCCTCACAATTGATGGTCCATCTTCAACGAAATTTGATCCCTAGCCTATTTTTTTGCCCTCAATCCAACCATACGCTTGATTTAAAAAAAAAAAACACAAAACGAAAGAGATTTTAAGTTTCCATTTGCTATTCATCCAAATTTTTCAATAGCTCGGATCACCTAGATCCATGCTCAAAACTCGGAACTGGTTTTGGAGTTTTGATTGGGGTCATGTGTGGGAGCTTTGACAAGGATTTTAGTCATCAATTAGCACCAAGCACGAAGATCAAAGGATCGATCTAGGCATGTTTCATTTTTTCAATTTAAATTTGCACGAAGATTGAAGGATCAATCTTGGTATGTTTCATTTTTTCAATAAATTCATAAAATTTCTTTATTTTTACAAAATCCATCATAATTTATTTAGAATATTTTTATATAATTTTAAATTTTATGATTATTTAATCTTTCTTTTTTTCAAATTTTCTTAGTTTTCCTTTTTTGGTTTCTTGTTTTAAGACAATAGTTTCAAATATTTTACTATTTCGTGTTTTATTTAATTTTTTATTTTTTTGGGTGTTTTATATTATTTCAGATTTTTCATAATTTGTAGTGTTTCTATTGAGCTTTTTTGGCCACTTTTCCAGCTCGGGGCAAGACTTCATCAATTCAAGCTGGACTTGCCTGAGTAACTCAGCCAGGTTAGTGGCTGAGTTTCAAGTCTGAGCTGAGCAAAAAGAAAAACATGGATATAAACAGGTCTCTCAACCCTTTGATGTCAACAAGTGATGGGTGGGGGGCATCGTTCCTCCACTCCAAGTTATGCACTTTAAGCATAGGAATGGTGCCCCACAACCATTCAAAGTTGACATCAGACGGCTAAGTGACCTGTTTGTATATCCCTGCAGGATATCAATAGGCGCACAAGATATCATATAAAGGTGCTATTGTGTGTGGAAACCCTTCTTCAAGTAAAATACCCTCGTTTTTTGAGAAATGACCCCTCTAATTTTTAGTAGTCCCTTTATAACCTGATTTCTTCTGTTAGTCCCTTTCATTTTAAATTTCTCATCCAAAATATTTTGTATTTAGTAAAGGGAAAGTGTTCATCATCCACATAAACCATTGGAAAATCCATCATCTGTTGACGGTTGGGAGAAATTGGGACACACCATTGGGGGCATTTGTTGTTCTAGTGCATCCTAACTCTTAAATTAGTCAATTTTTCAATGGCTATGGATGATCTAGTGGAACTATAGTTTCTCCATTGTCCGATACTTTCCCACTAATAATTGTAACCCAAATACCAGGTGCCCTTGTATGATGTTCCTTCCTATGAAATCATTTTTCATCCCCTGGATCCTACCCCTCATGATTGATTTTCAGGGTGTCAACTGGCTACATTCTTAATGTAGGCATGTTCTCTAGATTATCATTGTCTTTATCATCATCGTCGTCGTCATCATCATCATCATCACCATCACCATCACCGTCACCATCATCATTATGGAAATTAATAGTATCCCCTGCAAAAACCTACTCTACAAGAAACCCCCACCAAATTGGGGTTCCCATCAAAACCCGCTGTTCTTTTTCATACCAGCTTGATGCAATAATCATATTTGGGGCCAAAATGCCCCAGCCTATCTATCCCAAAAGGCCCTCCATGCTTTTCTTGTGCGAGGAAAAACAGCAGGGCATTTACTTTCCCTCCTTTGGGGTAAACTCTGTCTTAACATTACACAGTCAGTGAACTCCTTTGGGCTTAAAAGGTGACAGATCTTAGTTGATTGGAAGCTCTTCCCTCCTCCTCCATAAATATAAACCCCTCTTTCATTGAGCTGAGCCTCATTCTTCAAAGAATACCCAGAGTCCAGCATAACTATTAACACTAAAAAAATCATCGAACCCATCTTCTTATTCATGGGAACTCAATTCAGCTGAATCGCTAGAAAAACCCAACTTTGTTCCCTCTTTGGATGATGGACCGATTAGTGCCTCCCCTTATCATCGTCTTTATCATCATCGTCGTCGTCATCATCATCATCATCATTATTATGGAAATTAACATTATCCCCTGCAAAAACCTACTCTACAAGAAACCCCCCACCAAATTGTTCCCATCAAAACTCGCTTTTCTTTTTCATACCGGCTTGACTCAATAATCGTATTTGGGGCCAAAAATGCCCCAGCCTATCTATCCCAAAAGGTCCTCCAAGCTTAATCTTTTCTTGTGTGAGGAAAAACAGCAGAGCATTTACTTTCCCTCCTTCGGAGTAAACTCTGTTTCAATATTACAGTCGGTGAACTTCTTTGGGCTTAAAAGGTGACAGAACTTAGTTGATCGGAAGCTCTTCCCTCCTCCTCCATAAATTTAAACCCCTCTTCCATTGAGCTGAGCCTCATTCTTCAAAGAATACCCAGAGTCCAGCATAATTATTAACACTAACAAATTCACCGAACCCATCTTCTTATTCATGGGAACTCAATTCAGCTGAATCACTAGAAAAACCCACCTTCAATCCCTCTTTGGATGATGGACCGATTAGTGCCTCCCCTTATCATCGTCGTCATCATCACCGTCATCATCATCATCATCGTAGTCATCACCATCATCATATGGAAATTAACATTATCCCCTGCAAAAAACTACTCTACACGAAACCCTCCACCAAATTGGGGTTCCCATCCAAACCCGCTTTTCTTTTTCATATTGGCTTGACGCAATAATCGTATTTGGGACCAAAATGCCCCAGCGTATCTATCCCAAGAGGCCCTCCACGCTGTATCTCTTCTTATGTGAGGAAAAACAGCAGGGCATTTACTTTCCCCCCTTTGGGGTAAACTGTGTCTCAACATTACAGTCGGTGAACTCCTTTGGGCCTAAAAGGTGACAGAACTTAAGTTGATCGGAAGCTCTTCCCTCCTCCTCCATAAATATAAACCCCTCTTCCATTTAGCTGAGCCTCATTCTTCAAAGAGTACCCAGAGTCCAGCATAATTATTAACACTAACAAAATCACCGAACCCATCTTCTTATTCATGGGAACTCAATTCAGCTGAATTACTAGAAAAACCCACCTTTGATCCCTCTTTGGATGATGGACTGATTAGTGCCTGTGAAAACCTTCGAGTTTGTACTAAATTACTGTTGATTTGATTGTCAGAAGAGCTATGGAATGCCACAAATAAATCCCATCGTATCACTTCCATGGTATCACCCTGTGAATTGCCAGAAAGCTCAGTTATCACATACATGGATTTTGGAGATTTGTGATGAAATACCATTCTTTGCATAAAGACATTTTTTATCTTTCAATTTGCCCCCATGAAATCAAGCAACATATAGAGACAATCATGTGACAAATGCAGTCGATGGACATTTCGATTGAGTCAAAAGACATTTCATGCAGACAACAGAGAATATAGAATAATATTTTCCAAGAGAATCTGATGCTTTTTAGAGATTTTTTCCTTCTTTGCTAATGTAATTTAGTGAGGATGGGCATTTTTGTCAAAAAACCGCTTTAAGAAAACACGTTGGGGACTTTGTTGAGAAAAAAAAAATAGTGGGGTTTTACTCGTTTTGCCAAAAAAAAGCTTTTTTTGAAAGGGATTGTCTACAAAGAGACCATTTATCTTTGGGTGCAGTTGGCATACGGATGCATCCGTAGCTATAGATGTAAGGTGCACCTTCAAATTTTATCATGGTATATAAATTTGATGTCAAATGTTCGTAGGATTATCTCAAAATCTATTTTTATATCTAATTATAAAATTTTAAATTTCAAAAATAGTTAAAATGAAATAGATCTATAAACATATGAAAATCTTGAAAGTAGACGGCGTAGATAATATATTGTAAAATGCACTATTTTTTAGCCTTAAAATCTTTTTATTTTTCATGGTCATACATCTCGATGTTGAGATGATCAATCAAAGGGTTTTTCAACATTAAAACTAACTTTTCCAATAGATTTTTGAGGTGCATCCATAGTTCTACATTATAAGGTTGCATCTTTATATAAACTTTTTCCTTTATCTTTTGTACATGGAGGTCGCTATCATTCCCACCATTAGATGTCAAATTGGACTGCTTGGGGTGCGTTAAGAAGTCTGAGAATTTTCTTTTTGGAACTTTGTGTCTATTCAATGACATTGTTACAACGACCTATTTTGAAATTTAAGGGACAAGAATTATTGTGACCTCGTACAAAAGATAAATAGTCTCTTTGTAGACAACTCTTTTTTGAAACATGGCGGTGGGAGATAAATTCCCATGATCATTATTATTGTTATTATTATTATTATTATTATTAAGGTTTTTATGCAACATGCATATCAGATAGAAGATTTGTCTGCAAGAGAGGTGTATGAGAAGCTGTTGGAAGCTGTCCAGCCGTAGATTGGTAAATGACCAAAATGCCCCAATTGTTCTGAAAAAACCTGGATGCACCATTGGCGTATCGTTATATTCTCACTGCAAGAGAAGTGAGTTCGATGCCCTTGGGATTCTTATTCTTCTAAGACAGAGAAAGAGCACTGTTGTGAATGACTGATAATTTGCTTTGCTGCCAACTTCCTTTACATTTTTACCATGGTGTTGAATTATTTAACACAAAAGTGCCCCTTACTGCAACCTCCTTGGCATTTGAAGAAGACCCTTTCAAGAAATTCTACTTTGGGTGCAGGGTGATTTTGGTCATTTTGTTGAATAGCATTAGGTTGAGCAAGACCCTTGTTTTTTTACTGGTATGCTTTTGAAAGGATTATGATTATGGATACAATAATAATTGTGGCCTTGTGGGTTTTTGACATACTCCACTAGGGTGTCATTGCTTTAATATATGAATGAATGTCATCAAGTTTGGATAGAAACGCTAAGTAAATAAATGTGTGTGTTGGAGTAGCATTTGTTTTGTGATAGTGAATGGTGACATCAAACATAGGATTTGTTTAAAAGTAGAGAAAAAGCTGCCTCATTTCCCGCCCCTAGATTTACCTGGATAGTCCCACCCCATATATAATAAATGATACCATTTCTCAAATTTCGCAAAAGTACTCTCTCTCTCTCTCTCTTTAACCACTAAGGAAAAAAAATACTCTCTCTCTCTTAACTACTGAGGGAAAGAAAGTAGTACTCACATTCTCTCTCTCTCAACACAAGGGAAGAAAAAAAGTGGTACTCTTTCATGCATGTCAAAAGGTGGTGCTTGCTTCGAAAGGAATGGGGCCGCTTTTCTTTTCTCATTCTTTTTGTAGCTCTCACTTAGAGAGAGAGAGAGGGGGCAGTTGCCATTTGTCAATAAGAAAGATGAAAAAGCAGCTGTCAATTGTGAAGGAGAGTTTTGATGGCATATGAGTTATTCAAATGGACCAGCAGTTTTCATTGTGTACGAGAAGAGGTGTATATTTTGTAGAGAGAGAGAGGTGGCAACGGGCCGAGCCACCCCTGGCCCAAGGTAGGGAGAGATAGGTGTGGCAATGGATTTGGACGACCTGCCAGGCATACCCGATATGGGTCCATGATGGGTTCAACATTTGTACACAGTGGGTCGGTTCCAAGTCCAAAACCTGGACCCAAACACTATATAGGTCTGGTTGGATTCACCATTCGCAGAACCGGCCGGTTAGAATCAGAACCAGCTAGTTAGTTCGGAACCATTAGGGTTTCGAGTTCGGTTAGGGCCGGTTTTGGGGTTCTAGCGTATATATCTATCTACCCAAAAAATATTTGGACCAAAATCGGCCGGTATATAAACTAGCGGGTTTTTGGCATAACTGAACCGGTTCTAGAAGAAACCATTTTTAATGGGTTTTTGGCATAACTGAACCGGTTTTAGAAGAAACCATTTTTAATGATATAACGGGCGTTATAACAGTGTTATATAACATGTTTTCGTTATTTGATACAGAGCCATTATTTTTGACAGAACTCATGTTTTCTTTTGGTTCAAGGTCCGATTTGATTTTGCGATCAAGATTCGATTTGATTTTGCAAACTTTATCAGCCTTTTATAGAGAATTATTGAACGAAATTATTGATGTTACTCTATAAAATAGTCGATTTGGGATAAAAAAAACTACTTAATTTCAAGTTTTTTTTTACGTTATTTCGTTGTTCTTCATTAGTTTGATCAAAATCTGCTAAGGTTGTTGGAGTTGATTTGTTTTTCAATCAAAATTGGGGGTTTTTGTAGATGAAAGAGATAGTCAGACTACTATTCCACTCTTGATTTCATTGAAATCTAGAGATTTCGGGCTCAAAATTGAAATTTCTTGGATGTTATTTTGGTGTTCTTCAAAGTTTTCATGAAAAATCAGCCGATCTAAAGATTTTGGGCTCGTTTTTTATTTGTTTTCAATCAAAATGGGGGGGGGGGGGCACTGAGATATCCATACTATTAAACTTTTGATTTCATTAAAATCTAGATATTTCAAGCTCGATTTTGAGATTAGGCCTTCATTTGAGTTGAAAGAAAACAAGATAAGCTTCGACTCAATTTTTTTAAAATTTGTTTCCTAATTTTTTAGCCTTTTTTAGGATTTTTCAAACAATAGTTGACTGAAAATATTGATTGCATTCAATAAAAGAATGGATTTGAGAACAAAAATAGACATTTGGGACTTGATTTTTGAGATATCAATTTTTCTAAAAATTTTATTTTGCTTCATAAAATTATGTTTTATGATAAATATGGGAAGTGTTTTTATATTTTGCTTAATAACATTACGTTTTTTTTATAAAATTATTTTTTTATATAAAAATATATTTTTTGATGAATATGACCAAAAAAAAATGATTTTTCTATATTTAATTTTATACTTTTTTTTTAACAAAAAAAATGAAGTGCATGATAATGTTGCTCAATCTTTTGCATGCCATCATAGATGCTATTTAATCGCGATACAACTTTAAACGTTTTGTAATTCTCATATCCATATCAGTGTGTTGTGCACTATTTTTTCTGTTTGTTGCATATCATAAGATGTACTTTTTGTGAAGTATGCCTTATTTAACTTCATCGAAAAAGTATTTTATGAATTATGCTTTATCCAACTATATGGAAGATGTCATGTTTGTTTCCTGTCTTAATTAGTTGGTGTTTTTATTTGATTTAATAGCATCAAGCTATTTTGTTATTTGCAAAACAGTATATAAACTTTCGTTCCTAATGTGAGTGATTTTTGTACAAAAGAAACTAGAAAGTTTTTCATGTACGGTTTGGGATGAATATATTAATTCTTGGAAGAAGATGTTACATGACAAAAATATCTTCAAAGAATATCCTAAAGCACAACAATTTGCTGAAGTTTTGTCCGTTATAATGAAATTTCATTAGAATTGCCCTGTGATTGAAGTTATTTTCCACTTAGTATTATCAAAATGCTCTTTAACTATTCCTGACTGGCGATGCGGCACAGCCGCGACACTACAGAGTCCACCCGGTCTATCTCAACTTTTTCGCCCAGTAATCCTTGATAGCGAGACACAACAGTACTCTGACCCCCCTCGTCATTCTCATTATTGTTAACCATTGTTATTTGGCCTTTGTAACTCCATCAATTGAATTAATGTCAAATTGTAAAGTGTCTTGCAAATCTCCATAATATTCAAATATTAATTTATATAAAAAATTGTTTAAATTTTTTTTGTAAGATAAATGTATGTAATATGATAGTATACACTTGATATAAGTTTTTTCTATTTTTTTTATTTTTTATTTTTTTGAGGGTTTTTAACCCATTAAAAAAAAAATCTACTTGACCGGTTAGTCCGGTTAACGCCCATGTTAGTCCGGTTCCAGTTCTAATCGCTCCCATCCCTCCCATCCCCATGTCTGGTTAACCATTCCAGTTCGATTTTGCGAATATTGGTTGGACCCACCCATACCCGTAAACGGTTGGAGATACAATATTTCAAGCCCTATTCATTTTGGTGTATTAAGGATCATGTATTATAAGTTGATAGTCATATTTAACTATTAAATGATAAATCAGACAGCTTGAAATTTAATGGCGGGGTGATTGTGGCCTTGTTACCAATAATATGGGTATATGATGATTAAAAAAAAAGGACACCAAAATTAAAAAAGAAGCTCATAGTGAAGGTAGCAATGGACTTGACCAGACCCAGAGCCTAGCGGATACGAATATGGGTAAAAAACTTGGACCCAAATACTATTCGGGTTTGGACCCGGATCCAGTAGGATCCGACCCATTGTCACCCCTAGAGAGAGAGAGAGAGAGAGAGAAGGGTGGCAACAGGCTGGGCCACCCTTGGCGCAGCCCAACCCAACCTTGGGTCGAGCCGAATCGGGGCCAAAAATGAATGAAGAAAGTCAAATAAACAAGAAGAAAAAAAAAAAAGATGGCCGAGTCAGTCTAAGCTAAATTGGGTCGGCGTTGGCCCTAGCCTAGGCCTCGGCCAAGTTTGTAGCCCAGGCCCCACATTTTAGAGCTGGGCCAGGGCGGCCAGCCCATTGCGGGACCGAAGAGAGAGAGAGTGAGTTGTCTTGTCCGTAAGATGGTATTTTGGTGGTCGATTCTATCCAAAAAGTAGGGAAACGGAACATATCCTCTCCCCCCTTTTTAAAATGAGGCTTAACGTTTATTGGCGACATTCATGTCACCTTGTTGAGAGTGTGCCATCAACTTCATTAGTGGTGAGGAATAAGTAAACAATAGTGGTTTCTCATCTTTTTTTCCTTTTTTTTATATTATTTATTTATGCTTTTTCCAAAGTGGAATAAGAAAAAGAGAAGCTGCCCCTAGACTCTCAACAAATCAGCTTCTAAAACACGTTTCGATCGTGTGAAAATAATTTTTGAAAAATATTTTTACATGAAAAATTTCTTTTATAGTTAAGTGTGAGAGTATTTTAACAATAATTGATTGTAATGCATTTTTTCACATCAATTAGTGGTTAATTAGTTTGAAAATATTTCTGCACCTAACCACAAAAAAAATTTACATGTGAAAACATTTTTTAAAAAATATTTTCACACAAACCAACCGTGCCAGTGTCATCGCTATTTCTCATATATGATTAAACTGCCCCTATGTTACCAAACTATCATTTTGTCAGCTTGGAGCTACACAAAATCTCACAATGCCATGTACATCCCCATTTCTTTTTTCTGTTTTTTTTCTTTTTCTTTTTTACAAAAGTATGAGTTTTATTGACCATAGAACATCACAACTGATTCAAGAAACAATAGTATCTAAAATGACAATAGAATCCAAAGAAATCCCCCAATATATTACTAAAAGAAATGCGTACATTGATGCCATTACCTTTTAGTATAGGAATTTCACAAACACCCCAAGTCATCCCTTTTAATATCATATAGATGGCATGTGTCACTTTTTCGTAAAGATTTTCCAAGTATTCGAACGATGGTATTTTCTTAGTCGCTCAATTCACATATGATAGCTAAGGGTGATTATCAGTTTTTCATATCAATGCTAAATAATTTTATCATGTTCTTTCCCTTTCTCAATATATAATATTTTTTTTTCGAGTAATTCCACCATTGAAATCGATCTCGATATATATCGTCGCAATCATCAACAACTAACCAATCAAACCCTAATACATGACCAACTTGGTCTGTAAAATGGTTCCCAAAATTAAAGACAAACTCATAGCATTCCACAAATGCAAGAAAAGGCGCGTAAAAGGCAGGGGCACATTTATCATTTTAGGGCGTTATCCTCATTTTTAATACAAAATCATCACAATAAAGTAAGACTTATAAAGTAAAAGTTTTGGAAAACCCGTTATCTTTCTGGGGTTCTGTTTTTTTTAAATTCAAAAACGGATGCCATGAATATAGAGGCGTGTCAAACTCAAACACCGTTACTTTTTCCTCTTTTTTAAGTGGGCTCTTAGTACTTTTCTTAAAGAATGAATGCCTGATTCAATAATTAATTAATTAATATTCCATAGTTTAAACTTTAAAGGCAAATGACGGTTCCTATATTTTAAATTTATAAGGAAACAATCAAGGGCACTTAATGAATGCTCCATAATTTAAGGGGAATCAAACCCTTTCTATAATTTAAGGGCAGCCATTGATGTGTCTCTAGATTTTTATGTGGTTTCTCTAGATTTAGAGAGAGAATTTCTCATGAGTTTTAGAGAGAGAGTATATATATATATATATATAAAAGTAAGACCCTAAAAATCAAATTAAGGCACACCTTAAAAATTCACAAGAAGAGGTTATTTTGATGTTGAAAAACTCTTAATTCGATCATCTCAACCTTAAGATTTATGTATATGAGAAAAAATAGATTTCAAGTCTTGGAAATAGTGCATCTCGAAAATTATTATCTAGATCGACAATTTTCAAGTTTTTCAAGTGTTCATAGATCTACTCGATCTACACCTTTTATCAATATTTAAATTTTATAATTAGAGAAAAAATAAACTTCTAGCTCACCATAAAGATTTTTAAAATTAAAACAATATATTTAAGTACTATTTGAAGGTGCGCCTTACTTTGATTGTTTAGGGCCTCAGCCTTATACAAACTACACCCAATTTATTTGCCTGTGGGCTATATATGTATATTTTTTTGGGGAAATTATCGCTAATATACCTTAATTTTAGTAACATCATAAAAAAACCCAAACTTCCCAAAACCTGGCCCACACCACACCTTTACGGTAGTCTTCCTTATCGTAATGCATTGCGACCATTACTGTAATAAAAATACCGTTGTAAATAGAGATAGAATTATGATACTTCTAGTACCGTAATGACATAAACATCTATTATGGTACTTTAATTACCGTAATAACATAGATATTACAGTAATTAAAATATCGTATTACTGTAATTTAAGTACCTTAATATTGCCTAACTCAACACGAAAGATTTTGTACTATCTCGAGCCTACTATTTATTTACTCCCTCGACAAAAATCCACGCTAGCTGTAATTTTTCAAATCTCAAATTTTTAGAATATAATCTCTACTTAATTTTTATATGGTTCCCAAAATTTTAGAACGGAAACACTCTTAAATATGTGTTTTTGAGAGAGGGAGTAAATCCACATTATGCTCCTATGGGAACATAGATTTTTTGAAAAAGGTAGCCCTGATATTAGCTTTGATTTGAAGCTTTTAAAGTATTCCAGTAATAGAAGTTCCATAACACTTTAAAAGCTTCAAACCAAAGTTAATATCAGGGCAACCCTTTTCAAAAACCCTATGTTCCAAACCTTGCTCAAAAACACTTATTTAAGTGTGTTTCCGTTCTAAAATTTTGAGAACCATATAAAAATTAGGTAGAGATTATATCTTAAAAATTTGAGATTTGATATTTGAAAAATTACAGCTAGCATGGATTTTTGTCGAGGGAGTAAATAAATAGTAGGCTCAAGAGAGTAAAAAATCTTTCGTGTTGAGTTGGGTAATATTGCGGTATTTAAATCACCATAATACTACTTTAAAGTATTATGATATTTTAAGTACTGGTAATACTCTGTTATTACGGTAATTAAAGTACCGTAATAGATGTTTATATTATTACAGTACTAGAAGTACCGTAATTCTATTTTTATTTTTTATAGTATTTTAATTATCGTAATGGTCGCAATGCATTAGGGTAGAAAGACTACCGTAACAGGTATTTTCGTTCAGAAAATACCAAAAATTGAAAGAAAGAGTGTGAACGAGGTTTTGAGAAGTTGGAAATTTTTTTTATGAGTTTTTAAAAATTAAGATATATTAACCATAATTTCCCTATTGTTTTAGGGATAACAAAATGGACAGGGTCAAAGGTCGCCATGCGAGCCTCCATTAATTTATGTATGAAAATAACGGCTTAGAAATTTGCACCTTGGGGCCTCCTTACCGTTATACTACTACTATATAATGGACTTTTTTGGCCCTTTCAAAACTCTATGCTGTATCCAACTCTTGCCCCACTTGCTCTCTTCCCTGTCCAACTTCACCTACCAGGTCTCTTTCTCTCCAACTCTCTCTTTCTCTCTCTAATTATTGGGTTTTTCAGGTGAAAGCTGCTTCGCCATTTGTGACCAGCTCTGAAGCTATGTCACCTGTTTATAGATTGTTCACTTGTAAGCATTCCCTGTTTCTCTTTTAAACTTTACATTGCTTCTTCCTTCAAATGTCTGCGAATTTGTTTCTTTTACTGAAACTTTTGACGAAAAGGAAAAACCAAGACTCGGACTCGGGCGAGTAACTTGGCCTCATCGGGGTTCATTCAGTTTCCCAAGGTGTTATATAACTCTGGGATATAAAATAAAATAAAATATTCTTCTATGGGATGTAAATACTATTTTTGTATTTTCCTCTTTTTGAAATTTTTAAAAAATCCCAAGCTGTTAATGGGTTAGTTTTAAATCCATTTTTCTCTATTTTTGTAAAGTGGTTTTAAGTTTTAATTTACGTTGATTACAAGTTTCTATTCTTCAATTTTTTTTATTTTTATCTTTTTAGGGCCGAAAGGCCTTGTGCTGGATTCGGTCCAGCGGAAGGTCATGTGGGGTAGAGAGAGAGGGCTTCTATTTATCATTTTTAGTCTTATTTACTGGGTGGAAAAATAAAAACTTACCTGATATCTGCTAAAAAATTGATGACATCTCGTTTTCATATCCTCTCTTTCTCTCTTAATTCTGGGGATTTTCTCTCAGGGGGATACTTTCCATTCACATGATCTACAGTGTCCATCTAACGGTACTTTCCTTGTGAACTTAAATTACAATTTTGCCCCTACCTATTCAAAAGTTTTGGGGTTCTAAATTTTTTTTTTATTTTTTATTTTTTATTTTTTTTTTTATCGGATTGAGGAAAAAGGTTATATAGAGCGGAGGCTCTAAACAATCACATTCGAGCCTACTATAAAAAATTCACTAGACGAGGTTGTTTTGATGCCCAAATATCTTCAAATTGATCATTTTGACATCAAGATGCATGGACGTGAGAAAAAAATAGATTTCAAGTTTTGAAAATAGTATATTTTCGAATGTATTTTTTGGGCAGCCAATTTTCAAGATTTTCAAGTTTTTATAGATTTGTCGATCTACACTATTTTTAATGCTTTAAACTTTATAAATAAAGAGAAAAATATATTTGCAAGCTATCACAAATATTTTCAGTATTGAAACCACATTTCTCGACACTATTTGAAGGTAGGCTCTAATTTGATTGTTTAGAACCTAGGCTCTATACAAACCGCAACCTTTACTTGGATGGTCACAATTTCCTACAACCATTTGATGTGAAATTTGATAGCTTGGATGTGTCATAAAGTTTACGAAAATTTCTTTTGAAGTTTGAGCTTGGTCAATGAATTAATTGCCGCCACCCAACTTTACATCCAATGGTCAAGATTATTGTAACCACTTTGTATAAAAAGTAAATGATATAATTGTATACTTTCCCTTTTTTATATATATAATTTTTACCTATTTTTTTTAGTTGTAAGTGAATAACCTTACAATAAAATTGGAAATAATTGGTTCAAGCTTTACTATAAGGAAAATAAATTATCGATTGTGGGTATTTTGTGGTAAAACAAATCAAGATTGATTGCAAAAAAAAAAGTGTTGTTACTAGATAATTGGCTAACTATTTATTTTTGGCCGGGTTTGAATCAGGTCGTTGGAATTGTATTATTGACTAGGCTCAAAGTTCAAAAGAAAATTTATCAAATTTCATGTTATTAGATTTGCCATCTAAGAATGATAGTGCCTTCATTGTATTAAAAGTAAATAGTTAAATAGTATAAAATCCCTTAAGCAGATGCACTTTCACATACATAATCAATGCAATAAATACATTAAAAAATTAGTGAAATAAACTACAAACCTTTGGAAAAATTAGTTTCTTTAAAAAACTAGTTAAAAAAACTTCAAATTAATTGAAAACTGAATCTTGAGGAAACATTTCCTTTCATGACTTAATTCTTCGCTCCTTTCTTTCCAAAGCCTTCTTTTAAGGGAAAGGGCTCAAAATATTTTACCATGTCAAAATAATCAAAGGTCTAAAAGGCTCCATTTATCACCACGTTTACTTTGTAGTTTTCATTTCCCTCATTCAAATTTCCAAAATTACTTCTGCTCAGTATTGGATCCCTAAACAATATGGAAATTTTAGTAATTTGGTTTTCCTTAAGTGTCTCAAGCTAAATAATGAAATACTTCTAAGTTCTTATAGCACGGAACTATCAAATCACAGAAATACCCATAATTGTTCAAGATTAGCAATATGTAACTTAAATTTTTCAATGAAAAAATTATTCTGAACTTGAATGTCGTGGGCTACTATGGTAATTTATCCCAAGTCACTTAAGTTGGACAAAATTACCAAATTCAAGGTTCCTAACCCTAATTATGGTAATTTAGGAAATTTTGACCTATTTTTTTGGAAAGTACCTTTATTAAGTGAAACTTGAGAAGTGATCCAGTAGTGGAAAATGAGATCTTTTGAGCCCATAAATGATTTTGTAGGACAATTTGAGTTCTTGAATGATATTTTAACTCTGTGTTTAGAAAATAGACTCGGGCAAGGTAATCAGCCCTTGCCTAAGCTGAGTTACTTTGACGAGTCCGAGTACCTTGCTCCACTAGAGTTAAAAGTTAAAAAAATAAAAAATCAACACAAAAATTAATCTATTTATATTATTGCATTATCTAACTCTTTGTTAGAAATCCTTGTTAGTAAGCTCTACTTGTCATTCAAGAGCCACCTTCCCTTGCACAGCAGTGGCAGGATGAAAAAGAAAGCAAGGGAGAAGAGAAGAAGCTCTCCCTTGGCCCCTGTTGATATCTTGCTGAATTATTTCTCAAGGATAACCTATAAGAGATGGTAGAAAGGTGCTCCATGCCACCGGAGTCGGCCACTTCCGGCAGTGTTGAAGAAGAAGAACCTCAGGATACAGATTACTCCTCTTACCTTCCCCCTCTCACCGATGAAGTTTCGCTTTTGATTCTGGCTCGCACCCCCTTCTCCGATCACCCCACCCTCCGTTGTCTCAGCCGCCGCCACCGCACCGTACTTGAGTCTGGGGATCTTTACCGCATCCGCCAAGCCCATGACCTATGCCATCCCATAGTCTTCATGCGCGCTGGAGGTGGGTCTTGTTGGTTTGCCTTTTCCCCTGACTCGGGCCCTCGTCGCCGCCGCCGCTTCCGCCTCCCCCACTTCCCAAGCAACAACCGCTTTTATGATGGTGATAAGGAATCCATTTGTGCTGGAAGCCACCTTTTAGTCTCAAGCCTTGACCCTGAAGGCCCCACCGTATGGCGCTATGAACTCGGAGCAAACCGCTGGTTCCGGGGGCCCGACATGCTCTCAAAACGCAGTCTCTTCGCCTCAGCCAGCTCGGGTTCATGTGCCTTCGTGGCTGGTGGGTGCGCTTATGTCACCAGCTCTCTGACTGCCCGTGTGCCAATGAACTCAGCTGAGCAATACGACCCCGAGACACGCACATGGAGACCACTCCCACCTATGCATAGGAAACGTACACATTGCTCGGGGTTCTTCATGAACTCGAAATTTTACGTCGTCGGAGGAGAGGGAGTGAACAGAGATGACTTAAAATGTGGTGAATTCTATGACCCTGAGATGAACGAGTGGGTACTCGTGGAGGGGATGCTCGGTGACCGGCCAGTCCCAACAGGGTCTGATGGACGGCCACTACCGAGGTCACAGCCGTTGGTGGCAGTAGTGAACGGGTGCGAACTTTATGAGTTGGTGCCGTGCATGAATGCACTCAAGGTTTATGAGGAGGAAGAGAAAAGGTGGAGGGTAGTTGGGTTCGTGCCGGTGAAGGCAGACCAGAATGGGGGTTGGGGGGTGGCCTTTAAGTCATTGGGGGACAGGCTCTTGGTGGTTGGGAGGGCTGGGTCCTCAGGGGGGGAAGGGGGGAGGGTATGTGCTTGCACATACAAGCCTGGGGTGGGGTGGGAGCTGCTGGAGGGGGCTGTTGGCAATCTTGATGACTTTGTTTTCAATTGTGCTGTCATGCTCACCTAGACACTATATTTTTACTTAGCTCACACCATTTCTTCTTTTGCTTTTGTTACTGTATATTTCTTCTTTTTAATGACTCAGATATCAGGTATCACCTAATACCTTCTTTAATTTTCCTCTTGATACTACTATTTTCTTCTTCTCAAAGAATAAATGTTCATTGTACAGTCTGAAACTGCAATCTCTCCTACCTCTCTCCTCTATACATATTTAACAAACTCTAATCTACTCTCAACTTAGACAACTAAATGTAATTGTTCTTTGAAACAGAACAAACCTAGCCAGCTTTTTCTGAAAACGACGACACAACCTTAACCAGTAGAGGGTGTAGTTTATATAAGGTTAGCTGCTCTATTTGTATAAGGTTGTGATGCTCTACATTGTATATTTTAGTTGGATTGTACAGATTTGATACATATTTTAAGATAGTGTCAGATTTATACCATCCACATAAAATGAATGGTCTATATTACTCTAACCTTATTTGTAGAAGGATTACTGTAACCTTATTTCCATGGAGCATTTAAGAAACACATTCTAATATTGGCAAGCAAAGTATCCTAAAATTTGGAAAATGTTGGGTCAAAACTGAATCCCGATTCCACCATTGTTGAGCAATACTAGAATCGCTTGATTTACAAAAAATTGTATTTTATTACCATTATTCTCACCACTGTTTCAACAGTCAGAACAGTGGGGAGGACCATTCACCCTCAAATCTAAAACAAATCTCCTCAAATCTAAGTCAAATCACTAGATCGTTGATTTTGATCGGTCTGAATAAATGATCTAGAAAATTATTAAAATATAAAATAGAAATTTATAAGAACCTAATATAATTTGTAAGCTTAAAAAGAACCCCTACCATCTTGAAACCAATTTGGTTTTCACCAAGTCTCCTCCACTTGTGAAATCGTCGGGTTTTAAAACATTGATTCTCACTTATTTGGCCAACCTGAATAACCTAATTCAGCCAATCCTATTTGGTTTACCAGAGCTCTAAAGCACTGGGAAATAATGTTACTGCCTAGATGATAAGCCGTTAGTTACCAGTATCCAATGCCATTCTCACACCTGGTTTTGACATTCAATATATAGTGAACTAATTTTACAGTTATGGGATTATACCCTGTATCAACAGAATTGTTTCGCTCTGTTTTTCACATCCAACATAATCACGATTATTTAGTTGAAGAGAATTGTTTCATTCTTTTTTTCCTATCCAAAATAATTACGATTATCTAGGCTGGAGCTTCAGCCAAAGAGGCCGAATCACACAGAACCAGACCGAACACATAATTGTTTTTTTTTAAAATACAATTTTATACTTTAGCTTAAGAGCCCGAATCGAACCGAAGTGGGCTGAAACGGGATGCACTAGAGCTTTGCCTCAGACTAGACCGAAAATCCAAAGATTTCGGCCCCTCCTCAACCAAAGCGAACGTTCCAACATTGGGTAGGGGATGCTTAAAAGAGTAGGTTATGAAAAATTCACATTACTAATAAAAAGTTCTAAAATACTTTCGTAGGAACTAATACCTGCAATATAAGGACATGGGTGTCCACAAAGGAAGACACAACCAAAACAATGACCCAAATATGATCTAAGGCTCAAACTAGCCAAATCAAGTAAGAAAATCTCTCCCCAAATGGGGTTGACTAATTCTTGGTCCTAATACAACCACAAATTTCTTTAAGAAATGTTTAAGATGAAGCAAAAACATGAGCATTCAAATAGAAGGAAAAAAGATGCCAATCTCTCTCTGAGTAAATCTCCAAGTTGCCGCTGAGTAAATCTCCAAGTTGCTGCGATACTAATCTCACTTACGCTGCAAATCTTTAAGATGACGCCCCACTACGAAGAGCTTGAGATTTCTTCGTTCTCTTGGGCACCACTTGGGTTTCAGCCTGCAATCATCAATGCAACCCTTCAAAACTTTAAAAAAAAAAAAAACACACATACACTCTCTAGATGTTGCATACATATCGTCTTTCTTAGAATCCATGTCATTAAGCTCAGTAGAAGCTCATTCAAAAGGATGATTACCTCTTTCGTGACAGGTGCCTCCTTTTCGGACAATATCAACTCAATATGACAGAGGGAGGTCATGTAAGTTGTTCATAAAAAAAAATTCAACCTTGCTCAACACAACAATCCCACTCTGCACCGGAAGAAACAAAGAATCAAGGATATAAAATTAAAGGATAGGAAACCTACGGCTGATTCTTCCATGGGCACGGTAAGTTCATCACCTTCGCTTCTAGGCCTGATTCACCTGGATATGCGAAATGAATAGTGTATCCACATCCAAGCCCTTTACCTATAAAATTCAAATGCAAAAAAACCAATACAATATATACGCTGAGAGATCAAGGCTTGAGTTTGTAACCAAGTAAAATTCAATAAAGACTATAAAACAAGCAAGCACGGATGCTGAAATTATTAGGGAAGATAAATACGGAGCATAGTTAGGGAGAAGAGCGTAGAGGCCTGAATATGAGAGATATGATGTGATGAAAGACAGAGATGCCTGATTGATAGCAGGCATGTTTGTGTGTGTGTGTGTGTGAGAGAGAGAGAGAGGATTGCATACGTCAGCATTACTCTCAGCACTCTTGAGCAGTGCGGCCAACACCTCCACAAAAGCGTCGAAAAGGGATGGCCTGCTTGTGGGCAAGAACGTCCTCCCGATACCTCTTAGCCTTGGCCAATGGGAGCTTCCTGATAGCAAATGCAGTTTCCCTGGTGTTCTGGAGAGAAACAAGTTACACAATGAGTAAAAACCCTAATACGTTGATTCTAATATCACACAAATTACCATAAGCTTCTTCCAATAAATTCAATTTCCAGTTTTTCTTTGAAAAATTATCACAAACACATGGCAATCATAAGACCTCTAGTATATATATAAAATACGATGTCAAAATACAACAGAAATCACGGTAAAGATCTCTTCGAGGAAGACAATGAAAGAAATTATGCAGCCTACATAATCACAGTCAACTTTTTACCCTCAGCAATAAAGTTATCGATCAATATTTTCCAAACTTGCACTATTTAGATGATATCACACTAATGAACTTCTAGAATATACATGTAATATAGCAGCTTTTTTTCTTTTCTTGAAGATTTAAAAATATAGCAGAAAACATGGTAAAGATCTTTCTTAGGAGCACAATGAAAAAAAATCTGGAGCCTACATAAAATTTATAAAAAATCTGGAGCCTACATAAAATATAGTAGAAAATGTGGTAAAGATCTCTTTGAATGTACAACTGAGACAACAGCAGAGCCATAAAATTTATACAACAATCTGACATCTGATTGGAGCAACAGCACACAGTTTTTTCTAATGGGTCAAATAAGCAAAAAGGCAAACTTCACAAATTACTGACGACTCAATGCATAAAAAGACCAAGGTCCTTCTTTTTTTCCACTTTCTTTTTATTTTTTTGAAACTAGAGAGAGAGAGAGAGAGAGAGAGAGAGAGAGAGAGAGAGAGAGAGAGAGAGAGAGAGAGAGAGA